TAAATACATTGAAATTAAAAATAAAGTCTTCCCACAATGAAATTCCTGGCCCAGATGGCTTCACTGGTGAATTCTAACAAATATAAAGATGCTCTTTCAGAAAATAGAATACTTTCCACTTGTTTAATAACATAATTTGACAGACATTGCAAAGCAAAGAAATCTATAGTCAATATCCCTCACAAACATAAATACAAAAATACTTAACAAATATTAGTAAATCAAATAAAGCAATATAAAACAGATACTAACTACATCATGACCACATAGTTTATCCCAAGAATTCAAGGTTGGTTAAACATTGAAAATTGATATAACTCACTGTATATAGAGAACAATGGAGAAAATCCACATGTTTTTAAATAAATGTAGTATAAGTACTTGACAAAATTTACTCACCATTCTTGATTTAAAAAAAAAAATCTAAGCAAACTAAGAATAGAAGAGAAATTCCTCTTTCTATTAAATAACATATGTAATGGTCAGACTGTTGAAACTTCTTCCCTAAAATCAGAAACAAGATAAGGATGCTTACGCCCACCACTTCCATTCAAATTATATTGGAGGTCCTAGCTATTGCAATAAGGCAAGAAAAATAATAGGCATAAAGATTGAAAAGAGAGAAGTAAAACTGTCTCTATTTGCAGGTGACATAATTGTTTATGTAGAAAGCCACGAGGGATCTACCAAACAGCCATGATAACTAATAAGTGATTTAACATGGTTTCAGGGTATAAGGTGTTCAACCAGGAAACAGTAACCACACAATAATTTTAAAAGGAAAAGTTTGGTATAAACAATCACTAAGTGTAACAGGGAAGTAGCTATGAAGGTATAAAGTGATCCCTAAAGAACAGTGCAAGAGAGTGTACCCAAGGAAGGGACACCTGGAAGGAAAACACCCCTCCCCAAGACTAGGATTCAGACCCCTTTGGAAAAGTGTGGTTGCAGCCCTCTGGAGGCTGAAGTTTGCTGTGTTGCTTGGGCAGAGCTGATCCACCGTCACTGGATATACTGGAAACACCCCAAGGGTTGCAGGTAAGCTGAAGCTGGTGGTGCTCATACAGAGGGAATTGGGGCTTTAAATACTTCTGTAAGTTTTAAAGAAGAAAAGAGATGGCTCCCAGGTACTCCAGCTTACATGGACCTTGAGTGCCAGATGCTTCTTTCCTGATGGTGTCAGTGAAATTCCTGGGGAGCTCTCTCCCTGCATGGCTTGGGTCGTGTGGCCCATCCTTTAACAAAACAGCATAGCGGGGGTGGCCCCGGCAATCTGAGTTTCAACCAGCCCCTCAGATGATTCTGATTCCCACTCAGGTTTGAGAACTGCTCCCCTAGAATTACATTAAAGGCATACCTTATCTCCAAGCTTTGGATAATTTTTCTTGATCCCCCCCAAAACTGGTCAAATTACATTTTTGTAGTATTTGGCCAAACTCATTCACATCAGTGCCGGAAAATGTGTTAATTAACACATATCGGCCTCCTTGTGAAACTGTTGCAGTTTAGAGACATACGTTTTTGGTGAACTGCTAAGGCCAGAGAATTTCCTTCTGTCTGGAAGTTTTGTGAGGAATCTAGGGTTGCATTTTCAAACCCATCAACTTTGGCTAATGCTGGACACAAGTTTACTTTGGACCCACCCTCCTCGACTTCTGTCTCATCTGCACACGTGTACACGCATGCATACAGAGAGCAGTCTGCTTCTAAATGTTTAACCACTGGCTCTCCAGGAATGTAAAGCCCCGATTTGTGGCATTTGCAATTTCCATGGTGTAAATACTCCCACCATGGCCAATTATAAACTATCAACATGAAATCATGGACTTCCCTGGTGGTCCAGTGGTTAGGACTCTGCCCTTCCACTGCAGGGGCCACAGGTTGATCCCTGGTTGGGGAACTAGGATCTTGCCTACTACACAGTGAGGCCAAAAAAAAAAAAAAAAAAAAACCATGAAGTCAGTGAATGAGGATTTGGAAGAGACGCACACAGTGATTCTCTGGGGCTGGCGCGAGCCATACTTCCAGAGGTGGCCCGTTCCTGGCTGGGCCTCCCCTCCACTTTCGGGCAGTGCCTCCGGGGCACCAGAGCCCCAGCAGTGGAGGCCGTGGGGACAGCTTCTCCTGCTGAGCTAACTCCAGGTGTGGGAGAAACTGGGGGTAGAAGCACATCTGCACACACCCTCTGGAGCCAGCCTTCCTCAGCCTGGTTTTCTCACCCTGCAGGGACCTGCGAGCTGCTACTAGCACCAGTGGATCTCTGTCACCTGACAACAATAGGGACCCGTTCGGAGCTGCCCCGCCGGTAGGTGGGAGTCCTTCCGTTCTGTTTGGAAACCAGGGATCCTTGGGGGTGGGTGCTGGGGCCTCGTCATGCAGAAGGCGGCCAGTGGATGTAGCAGCAGCTACGGCCAGCACCCAGCGCTCTGTGGGTCCTCCCAGGGGACGGAGCAGGCAGGACAGGGTGTGGACGGTGTGGCCTGGAAGGTGGTCTCACACCACTCTCAGATGGCAGCCACCTGCTCAGACTTCTCCCCAGGACGCCCTGGGAGTCCCTGGGGGAGCCCCCAGTCACAGTCAGAGCTGCTGCTCAGGGGAGGGCGGGACATCGAGGTGGGGACCAGAAACCACCCAGCGGCATCCCCAGAAACTGCAGGCACTGTTCTCAGGGAGCCATGGGGGAGTCTGAAAGATGGGTTGGGGGCAGAGCAGAGTTTAGTTAAGAAGCCCTGCCCGCCCCCCCCCCACCGTGGGACACGCAGTCTGGGCTGAAAGGGTGGGGAAGGGCAGTGTGTGTCAGTAGCACTTGGCTAACCTGTGCTCCCTCATCTGTCCCCTCACGCCTTGGTGGAGTCACCCAGAGGCCAGGTCGCCATCTGCAGCCCCAGACTGGCCCGCTAGCTGGGTCAGGAGTGCGCATGCATGCAGCTTGGTTGGGGTGGCCTCCAGCCAGCCACAAAGGCCCCACGATGTGCCCAGCGTCCAGTGTCCAGAGAGGTAGAGTGGCCGGGAACCACGACCTGGGATAAAGTCACCTGCTGGCCGTGTGACCTGGGTGTGTCCGTTTAGGTCCCTGTGCTTCAGGTTCCCTGGGAGGGGCTGACGTGTCAGAGCAGGTCCGAGGAAGAAGCCAGGTGGGGTGGGCACACGGCAGGTCGTCAGGGAACAGGCTCCTCGGCAGGATGACATCATGGCCTCTCCACTCTGCGGGCTCTGTGGGGACGGACAAGGCAAGGGGGGCAGCCCTGGGTGGTCCCGGGGGGCAGAAGCCGTACAGACACCCTACGGAAAGGTGTCTGTTATGGGTTGAATCCTAACCCCCCAGTATTTGTGAATGTGACCTGATTTGGAAATAGGATGACTAAGTTTAAGTGAGATCAAGGTGGATCCTTATCTGACTTGTTCTTATGAAAAAGGGAAATTTGAACACAGACATGCACACAGGGAGAAGGCCATGTCAGGTGGAGCAGAGACGGAGTGATGAGTCTGCAGAAGCCAGAAACAGATTCTGTCCCACAGCCTCAAAAGGAACCAGCCCTGCTGCTACCCCTTGATCTCGGACCTCCAGTCTCCAAACTCCCTGCCTTCATGAAGTGGCCAAAACCATACGAAGGTGACTCATAGTAGGTCCAGGCCCAGGAATCAGAGCAGGGAAGGAGAGAAAACGCCAGGTCTTGTTGAGGGAGCCTGGGGACAGCTGCACTGGGAGGGGGCTGTGGTCATGTCCCCAAGCAAGTGAGGGAGACAGCTGGGGAGGAGCAGGCAGGTGAGGACACAGCATGTGCAAAGGCCCTGTGGTGGGAGCAGACCCAGTGGGTTCCAAGTAGCACCCGGAGGCCACGTGGCTGGAACAGAGCCATGAAAGTGGAGCAGAGCAGGGAGGGAAGCTGAAGGGGCCAGAGGAGGCAGGTCCTGTGGCCTTGGGCACTTCAGCTTCTGCTGAGCAAGGAGGGGTAGCAGGGGTTTAACAGAGGCGCCGTCACACTGGCTGCTGGGGGAAGGGGAAGGCGACCATGCGGTAATCCAGGGGAGAGGATGGCTGAGACCCAGGTGGTGGTGTGGGTGGTGAGACATGGGCACATCCTGTTAATATTCTGAGGGCACAGCTGACAGATGGCCAGTGGCCAGGGGTGGAGGTCCAGCCCACATCTTAGGAAGGCTGAATCCCCCCAGGATGGGGTAGGTGAGGGAGGGGTTGGCCTGGTGGAGACCAAGCCGTTTGAGATGTCTGCTGACATCAGTGGGGCTGGCCGTGGGCAGCTCGAGTCCATGGCAGAGGTCAGGGCTGGAGATGAAGACCGGGGAGCCGCTGGCACAGAGACAGAAAGCCAGGAGGCTGGACAAGGCCAGTGAGAATTCAGGACTGGAGGGAGCACAGACCCGGGGTCCACAGTGTTCAGTGATCAGGCAGAAAAGCTGGAGCAGTCCGACTCTGTTACCTGGGCCGGGGGGGGACAGGACTCCCACTGGGGGCTCCAGGGGGCAGTCACTTTGTAGCCAGTCCCATTCTCTGGCCACAGCTGGTCCAGCGGTGGGCTCCTCTCCCCACTGGGGCAACCAGAGGTGTCTGCACAATGTCTGGAGCAAGGATGCAGAGGGTCCGGCTTCCCAGTTGGGCTGTTTCCAGTTTGGCTAAGCCCCAGGGCGGTTGTGGGAGCTTGGTACTGCCCAGGAGGCAGAGAAAGCGGTCACATTGATGCTGAGAGGGGCCAGTGTAGACACGGCCCCTGGGCTCCATACAATACCTGGCCTGGGTTCTGGTCCTCGCAACCATCAATCCTGGCCCCAACAGGTGCGCCTGCACCTCCCGGGGCTGGGGGATCTGTGCGTGGAGGGCGCCCCAGAGCTCTCTCCTCTCTCCCTCCCTCCCTCCCTTGGGGTGGGGACCTGATCAGGAGGCAGGACCCTGATTTTCAACCTCTCCAACTCCCACCTCCCTGCCCCATGGGCTCCCAGAGGCCTCTCTGTTGAAGGCAGGGAAACAAACCACAGGGCTTTGAAACCATCCATCGAGTTTAATGCATCGTACAGAGGAAAACTACATCGGCATATTTAAGACAAACACTTTTTCTCTAGTCCCGCTATCCATTGGACGGTCCTCCTTGGTCCAAAAAACTAAGTCTCAAGACACATTGGCAGCTACCCCTCCCGGGTCCAACCTTTCATATCTTCCCGTTACATTTTAAAAAAAATTTAATTCAATCCATCCAAGAAGAAAAACCAACCAACAAAAGAAGGAACCTGAAGACATTTACATCGCAAGCCACGCGGTAATGCGTAATTGGCATCTAGGGTAACCAATATATAAGACGTGTGTCTTACAGTTCACTTTGTTCATCAATAAAAGAATATAAAAATCTTGTTCAACCCAGTGTTAAGTGTATTAAAATAGATCTGTATCGTACAGCACAGTTTCTCCCGGAGTCGTGAAAATGACAGGAGGGACCATGGCAGTCTGCGGGATTCCGGCCAGCCTCCTTGCTCTGCACCTGGCAGCGTGCGTGCATGCGTGTCTGGGGCCACGTGTGCACACGCACACGTATGTTCAATGCAATTCGGCACCGTGTGATGTGCTGGGGGTGGGAGTCCTGTGGCTCCCGGACGCTCATCTTGTTGTGCTAAGTCCCTCGGGACTGGAGAAGCCAGTGGGCGTGACAAGCCCGCACGGCCCATCCCGGATGCAGGGCGGCGGGCACCCTTCGCTCTCATGGAGACAGCAAGAGGGACCCTTTAGTCTCCCGAGGCCACTGCCCTCTCTTCCTCCCCCTCCCCCCACTTCTTAAAAAACCCTCTGGGTCCCTCCAGTTTGGCAGCTCCCCCGCCCGAGGGGTTTTCCGTTCATCCTGGCAGCAGAGACCACTGTGAACAGGAATAGAAGTCACCAAGTGTCCCCTTCACATTAAATATCTCACAATAAAAACGCCATACAAAAATGTAAAGTTATTTTTTGGCATAGTGTCTGTACTGGCAAGAAAAGAGGAATGGAATACTATATCGGCTCTTCAAAAGGAGGAAAGAAAAGGCTTCAGTCGTTAAGTTGAACGATTCAACCCAAAATAGAAAACCTGCCAAATGCCTCCCTGGCGTGGCTGCAGCTCCATCTCTCGCCCAGAAACTCCACGAGAAAAAGACATCGAGGGCAAGAGGAGTCCAAAAAGTCAGCGGAGGAGGAAGGCGCACAGCGAGGGCGCCCCCAAGACCGGGGGGCAGACGGAGGCCTGGCCGGGCCACAGCAGCGTCCCCTGGGGAGCGTCCTTCAAGTTAAACAGCTGCGATTCTGACCGCTAATAACACTGACAACAGGGATGGGCGTTCTGGAAGGCCTGGCGTGAGCCCGACGGCCCCGTGGGGGCGGGCGGCTGAGTCTACCTAGATTTGCTACCCGCCTCTCGCCCCAACTAGCTCTACTACTTGGCTACGTCGTGTCCTCAGCTCCCCTCCCACAGGGCACCTCGGCCCTTCTCTCTCCCGCGGGGGTGGCACGAGGCCCAGGAGACAGCTGTGTCCAGAAGCCGGAGGCCCGGGCAGCCCCCCAACAGCAGGGAGTTGACTCTGTGCCCCGACCTGGCTTCCGGGCGTCCCATCTGACCTGGAGGGCGCAGGACTCTATCCCCACCCATCCTGGCTCTAGGACTCTCACTCAGCTTCTTCTCCCTTCTTTCCTGTCTCTGTCTGGTTTTATTTTTGTCTGAAATTCATAGTGTGTATGAATTAAGGCTGACAGAACCCTCAGGTCTTGCGAACAGGGTCCCAGTGACTTTCCGTGGGTGTGAAGACGGGTCCCTTGGGGTCAGTTGTGCCCCGGGGGGTGCTGGAGGGCAGAGTGCATGGCCGCTGCTGAGGGCTTGGTCCAGGGCCCGGCCAGCAGCGGGGCGGGGCTGGTGGTCGTCATGGTGACCTGGAGCATCTGCTCGCCCTGTATCAGTCTCAGGAGGGCCCTCAGGCGGTCCAGGGATGACTGGGTGCCCCTCTGCTGGGCCAGCAGGCTCGTCTTAAGCTCCAGGCATTTCTGTCAAGGGGGAGGGTGTCAGAGAGAAGGGTCTCAGAATTCAGTGACACAAGCCACCTGGAGCAGCCACCCCTCAGCGCTTTCTCGGAAAGCCCCTTCCTTCCACCGCAGAGGCTGAAAGAAACCAGGAAGAGGACCTCGCGCACACCAGGCAGAAGCGAGAAATGGAATTAAACGGCAGCCAGGCCCGCAGGAGAAGCCTGTTCTAAACATTCAGGCTGGAAACGATGTGCTCGTGCAGGAGTGCGGGAACGTCCTGCCTCGTGGCTGTGAGGCTGCCTAGCTGACACATCGACCTCTGCTGCCGGAGGAAGCTCCGAGCCTGCTCTGGCTCAAGTGCAGCCCTGCAGAAGACCTCCAGGCCGCTGGCCAGTTTTCTGCTCTTCCTCTTGCCTGCTGTATTCATGGGTTTTTCTAGCCTTTATATATCATAGCGACACAGTGAAGTGGTTAAGGACTGACGCCTCGAGTTAGAGTTTTAATTATTTGCTGCCTGGGCAAATAAACTCCTTGAGTCTGAGTCCCAAACTCTAAGAATAATCACAGAGGCTCTTCATAGAGTTATGGAGAGGATTAAACGGGATACTACATTTAAAGGGTTTTACCAGTTGCTGTTACCAACATCACCACCACCATCAGCACCATCACTATCACCTCCATCATCACCATCATCACCATCACCACCACCACCTCCATCACCACCACCACCATCACCATCACCTCCATCACCACCACCACCACCACCACTTCCATCACCACCACCACCTCCATCATCATCACCATCACCTCCATCATCATCACCACCATCATCACCACCACCACCATCACCATCATCACCACCACCTCCATCATCACCATCACCACCATCACCTCCATCATCACCACCACCACCATCACCACCATCACCACCATCACCTCCATCATCACCATCACCACCATCACCACCTCCATCATCATCGCCATCATCACCACCACCATTATCATCATCTTGTTTATCACCACTCTACAGAGAAGAAATCACTGTGTTCACTTTATACAAGAAGAAACTGAGGTTCAGAGATGGTCAGGGCCTTGCTGAGGTCACAGAGCTGAGAAGGAACAGAGCCAGATGCTCAACTGCTGGACAACTAGTTGTGGAATGAGTCACACAGCTGCCTTCTCCACCTGCTGACTCGCTAAGTGAAGGTGGTGAGTCTGTCTCCTCCTGGGGCCTCAGTAAGCAGACAGCGACGCTTTGGCTCTACACCCTGTGGTTCTAAGGGCCGACGCCGCACTCCCGCCCCGCGCACCTTCACTGCCGAGGCCAGGAGCCGGTCCCGCTCCTCCAGCTGCCGGCGCTCGCTCTGTAGCTCGCTGCCCCTCTGCAGCAGCTTCCGCTTCTCCTCTTCTTTGACTGTGAAAGAGAAGACCAGGCCCCACAGGGAACTGCAGGCAAGCAGGGGCTGGGCCGTGGCTGAGCAGGAGAGGTAGAAAGAATCCTAGGCCCGTGCCTATAGGTCATCCTGGCCACATCCTCCTGCAGGGGCCGGTGGCTCTCGCTGGATGCACGGGGACTGGAATTCCATCCCCGCAGTAACTGCCCTGCACACAGAACTAGTCCCAGGGGTCTCTGGCCCAGAACAGCCTCTGCTGGGCCCAAAGTGAGTCCAGCGGTCTAGGGGCGGGGTTGGACAAAAGGGAATTGGGGCCCTTTCCCAGCTCCCGAGGGTGTCTTTCTTACCTGTCTTATGGGTGACGTAGGAGTGCACAATAGCCAGCATCCCGGTCCAGGGCACACCTTCGTCTTTCTTTAAGGCCTGGAGGGCAGACGGGGAACTGAGGCAGTGGACAGCCCGGGGGCCCGCCACGCCCTGGCTGTGTAACCCGGGCTGGCGGTAGGGGCCGGGGTGGGGGAAAAGCTCCCTGGGCTGTCATATCCACCCTCTCCCTAGGTCCCCACAAAACCCAGAGTGACAGGCAATCACGAGAGTTATGTTTGATTTTTGTTTTTTCTTTGTTTTTTTTTGCGGTACGCGGGCCTCTCACTGTTGTGGCCCCTCCCGTTGCGGAGCACAGGCTCCGGACGCGCAGGCTCAGCGGCCATGGCTCACGGGCCCAGCCGCTCCGCGGCATGTGGGATCTTCCCGGACCGGGGCACGAACCCGTGTCCCCTGCATCGGCAGGCGGACTCTCAACCGCTGCGCCACCAGGGAAGCCCCGAGAGTTATGTTTTTTGAAAACAAGATGACTCCCCAATGATTTTACAAGTAATACATTCTGTAGAAAAGCCTACTTTTAAAAACACTGATAACTTCCCCACCATCCGGCCAAACACAGGTATTTTCTCCCGGGTTTCTGTGATTCTGCACATGTTTTTTCTCAGACAGCTGACGATCAAACTACGCAGCAGCTAGAAAACCTGTGTTTTATTTATTCATGTTTGGCCGCACCACATGGCACGTGGGATCTTTCCCAACGAGGGATCGAACCCGCGCTCCCCCCTGCACTGGAAGCGTGAAGTCTTAACCACTGGACCACCAGGGAAGTCCTATTTTTATTTCTTTTCAAACGTAATCCCAAATAATGAACACATCCCAAAGAACCGCAAAATCCTTGTAAAAAATCATTTTCAGGGACCACATCTCACTGAGCAAAGCGCTGGAATCTACTCCACCAACTCCTGGGGGGCAGCCAGGCTGGTTCCTTCTCTCCCTTTTATAAAGAAAGGCTGAGGGGCTTCTTTTTGCACAGAACTTTACCTGTATAGAACTATTTCCTTAGACTCTATTCCCCAAAGCAAGACGCCGGGTTTAAAAGGTGTACACGTCTTTAAGGCAACATGTACGAGTGCCCGCTTCACCGCACCATCGCCCGAAGGGAGTGCTGTCGTTTTTGCTAATTTGATAGCTTTTCATTTGCATGTTGTCATCAGTGAGATCAAACGTGCTAACTGGCACTGTTTTTTGTGGTTTGTGTCGTTAGTTCGGTTCTTCCCTGGGAAATCTGGAGTCACCAAGTCAGACAGCAGCAGAGGGAACCTCTGCTCACTCCGCACCCGTGGTCCTCACCGGCAGTGTCTGAGACGGCCACGATGGGGGCTGCCGTTGGCATCCAGTGGGTGGAGGCCAGGGACACTGCTGAACACCCTGCAGTGCGCAGGACGGCCCCCAAAATGGATTATCCTGGGCCAAACGGCAATTGTGCCCAAGTCGCAAAAGCCTGCTCTTCACCCAGCTCCTTCCTCAGCCCTCCACGGCCTTCCCCGCCTCTGCTCACCGCGGGGACGACCCAGGAAGCAGAGACGGTGAGTGGCCTCAGACACTGTGCCGGGTGAGGGAGGGCCCCGCGGTTCCGGGAGATGGTGAGGGTGAGGGTGCGGCCGCTCCCCAGGAGCACGGCCTCCTGTACCTTCTGCTGGCACTTGGGGCACACCCACACGCCCTTGGGTGCTGTCTTGAGGGGCGGGTCCAGGCAGCTGAGGTGGTAGGCCCCTGGGCAGGTACCGCAGGGCTGCAGGTTGGCCCCTCGCTTGCAGGCAGTACAGTGCTCATCGTGGGTGATCTCGTTCTGGAAGAGACGGGAGGGTGGGGGGCGGGTCAGCCGGGCTGGGAGGTGGGGGGGGGGGGTGCAGGACCTGCCTGGGGCCCAGCTCTTCCGCCAGGTTCTCAGCAGCTCGGGAGGGGAGGAGAAGGGGTGATGACCAAGGGGACACAGGCCTGGAAACCAGCAGCATCCGGGTCTCCTGCCTCAAAGCCAGCACCCCTGCAGGTGTGTGGGCTCCGCGCAGCAGGCCTCGGGCTCAAGGCACCTGCCGTCCCCACGCCCGGGCCGGCCTACAGCTACAGGGAGGCTGCAGACAACGCCTGCCCGCCACGGCTGCGATCTGCGACACCGCAGGGTTACGGCTGCAAACAACGCGGCCTGACGGAGTTTCAGCACGTGGTGCTTTCCAGTGGTTTGACTGTTACAGGCGTGTAGGGACTGGAAATGCCTTTTACAATCAGATGGGAAACTTAGTAAAGAAAGACACTGAAAATCGACTCTGAAGCCGCGCCCACAAATGAGGTCATGACCAGCCAGCATCCTGGGAAGCGGGGACGTGGTGCATGCGTGGTGGGCTGGGGTCTCACACGATCATTGAAATGTGGGCATGTGGGGTGAGACCCTGAGACCCAAGTCCAGTCCCTTATGAGGTAGGGAATGAGGACCAGAGAAGACCAGCTCTGCCCAGGGTCACACAGCAAGGCCAGACAGAACACACTGGCACCCAGCATCAGCTGCTTCCATTCAGGCCTTCGTGGCTCCTGGTGTCCCTGCGTCTGGAGGGCTCCTGCTTGAACCTGCGGGCTGAGCCCTGTGGTGATGTCCAACTCTGCCGGGCAGGCTGAAAAGTGGACTGGTGGTGTACGAAGCCCTCAGCACCGAGGACGGAGGCCGAGGCCCTCAGCTCCACTCCAGGGCAGCAGGATGCTGGGGTCCCGCGCCCCTTGCCAGGAGTGACCCTACCTGAACTGTATGGAAAGCATGCCCGCCACCCCCCCCGACCAGGCGTGAAGACCAGGGGACACGTACCTTCCAGCAGGGGTCCTCATTGGCTAGCACAGGGAAGAAGGGTGGAGAGCATGTTAGAGGGCACGGGAGGGGCACCAGTCAGGACTGGAGTCCACGAGGCCCAGTGTGAAAGGAGCCTGATGGGAGTGTCACAGGCCCCAGTGACTCCTGGGTCCTCCCCCAGGGCCTGATGGGAGTGTCACAGGCCCCAGTGACTCTTGGGTCAGCCTGATGGGAGTATCACAGGCCCCAGTGACACCTGGGTCCTCACCC